GTGGTGGCCATCTTGAATTCAATTCAATTCAATTCAAAAATACTTTGTTAATCCCAGAGGGAAATTAAGTGTTGTTGTAGCTTATCATCCTGGTTTCATTCAAGAGCTGTTATAGATGCTGATAGCTGTGGGCAGGAAGGATCTCCTGCAGTGAAGCTGAAGAATCTGGCCACAGATACCAATCTGTCCACCCAGATCCATCTTGCTGTCAGATCCGGCAGGCCTCTCGGTCCTCCTGGGCAGCAGGATTGCCCGAATGCCAGACAGAATTCATCCCTGAGTGATGGTCACTCCTCCTAGCAGTCTGCAGAGCTCCACACGAGCCGAATTTCTCACCAGCTCCAGGATCTCGGTGGTGAGGTCTCGAGCACCGCCGCCAGGTTGACGGGAATTTGTCCACGGCGCCTCCTTTTCAACTCACGTGGGATATGGGGCATCATTGCACCCTGTAGGTGCTGAGGGACGATCCTGTCCTTCTGCTGTCACGAGCCGTGTCTCCCACCAGTTCCAGGATCTGAGTGGTCAGGCACTCGAGCACAGCTGGCAGGCAGATGAGAATGCATCCACAGAACATCCTTCTCAACTCATTTGAGATTTGGGGCTGTAGTTGAGATATTATTTGAGCTTTTGAGGTGTTAATCAGCTGCTGTTGGTGGTAGAAAACTGCCTCGTTGCCATGGTTACGCATCATAACAAATGTCCAAAACTAAAAAAGTTTCAGTAAAAATCCTCCCAGTTGCACAGCATCTGATACCAGAGGAATCAATCATCCCAAAAAAAACGTGATCCACATCCAGAAAAGAGGAATTAAAGTTTCCAAAAGCAAAATCTCAGAATGAAAGTAACAGAGCTGCTCCAACATGCAGCCACGTTGAGCGGCGCAATTCTAGAATTGGGTTGGCTCCAAAAGTTAATCAGCTGCCTGTGTTTGTGTCTGTTTATTAAAGTTTCAATAACATTTAACCGGTGATTTATAAAACGTTTTGCTAACAGACACGTGAACTTGTCTTTAAGATGCTTTACCTTTAGGTCTCATTCAATGCATAAACTTTATTTTATTGCGTTATTGTATCATAAATATGGAGCGTTATTCCAGCACGCTCCCCGACGTGTTCGTGCAGGGTGGTGCGATAGTTTGTTTTCATCCCCTCTGTGGAAACACTGCAGGCCCATCAGTTAATCAGAAATAAAAACTTCTTCAGGCTGAGAGGAAAAGATGTTTCAGTTCCACCTCCTCCTCCTGGAACAAAGGCCTCAGTCAGAGTTGAGATCAGCTCTGCTATCTGCAGGACAGGAAGTAGTTTATCAGAACACACAGGACACTTTGTTCAGAATCTGTGCACATTTTGACACTTGGAAGCAGAAATTTATCAACACTTTCCTTCACAATAAACCCCTCCCTGAGCGTCAGATCAGCGGGTGTTAAAGGTAGACAGAAGCGTCGGGTTATCAATTCACAGCAGAGTGATTTAAACTACTGTAAACCCATGGGCATGGGGTACCGTTTGTAAAGTTACACAGTCAAAAATTAACAGCAATTTTTTGGTTTATTTAGCCTTTCATAAGAATTTTTTTTTTCAAAGTCAGATTTTCACTATGTTATTCATACATTTATAAATGTCATAGTTCCAAACTAAATATTTAAGTTACAAGCTAAATATTTAGTTAATAAACTAAATATTTAGCTTGTAACTTAAATATTTAGTTAGCAAGCTAAATATTTAGCTCCACGATAAGCATTTAGTTTACAAATTAAATGTGTATGTCCAAGGTAAATGTTTAATTTACAAACTTGCAAGTTAAATATTTAGTTAGTGAACTAATTATTTAGGTGTAAATTAAATATTAAATTTCCAAGCTTAATATTTATTTTAAAAAACTAAACATTTAATTTCAATGCTAAACATTTAATTCCTAAACTAAATATTTAATTTAACTAAATGTTTAACTTGGGCCTGTATATTTATTTTCTAAACTAAGCATTTAATTTCCAAAATAAATATTCAATTTGCTACATAAATATTTAGCTCAGACCTAGATATTTAACTTGCTAGCTAAATATCTAACTTGCAAGTTAAATATATAGGTCCAAGCTAAATATTTAGATGGCTACAAAAAATTTAGTTTGGAAAATAAATGTTTAGCTAGGAAAATCAACATTTAGGTCAGATCTAAATATTTAGTTGGCAAATAAATATTTATTTTTGAAATTGAATGTTTGGCTAGGAAAATAAATATTTAGGTCAGAGCTAAATATTTAGTTAGCAAATTAAATAGTTTAGGAATTAAATGTTTAGCTTAGACATTAAATATTTAGTTTGGAAATTAAATGTTTAATTTTAAAAAATAAATATTTTGTTTTGAAATTGAATATTTATTTTATACCTGAATATTTACTTCACTAACTAAATATTTAACTTGCAAGTTAAACATTTAGTTTGTAAACTAAACATTTAGCTTGGACATAAACATGTTAACAAACACCTGAACAGGTGGACATAATGGCATGACCAGTTAGCGTTTACCTAATGTTTGAAAATATAAATAATGAAGGATTATGATTTTCCTCTGTGCTAGATCTATAGAAAGCTAGTTGAACAAATCGCTCTAAAGAGACCAATCAGTGTTTTTATCACTTTCATACACCAATGGGACACACATCGGAGGCGATGAGGGGTTCAGTGTTTTGCCCAGGGACACTTCGGCATGTGACTGCTGGTGGATTCGAACCCCCAACTCTTGCATTGGAGGACGACTGCTCTAACCACTCAGCCACAGCCACCGTTTGGTGTGTTTGCCCTTTTCTTTTTTCCTCTTTGTTTTTCAGGCAGGGAGAGTGAGGTCCTGCACAGGTGGGACCTGTTAGAGCTGATTGCCACCAGGGTGTTCAGGCCGAGCTGATCCAGCAGTTGGCAGTGAACCATCTGCTCACAACTGGTGAAGCTCTAAGTTCATGTTTGCTGAGGCCTTTTTGAGAATTTGGTGACTGGTTTTGATAAAGAAAACTTACCTGTGCTGGCTCTTCAGGTGAATCCATGGTCGTTTCATGGTCTGTCGTTCCTGTGTTCTGGTCAACGTCATGAACTTTCACCTCTACAGTATAAAGCAGTGATGCAGTCTACATTTTTGTAATGGGTATACTGTGTTTAGAAACCAAAGCACACTGGTTAGTACAATGTAATCGTCAATTTATTTTCATTTTTAAGCATATTGCACATTTCCAAATTTCTCTGGTGCTTATATTTGAATAAATGAACAACAAACTTTGTTGGCTTTGTATTAAAAACATGTTATAGAATTTTTAAAACTGTTTCAAATCAAAACATGTTCAAGTATTAAATACAGAATTATACAATAATTTGCTGGGTACAGATTGTTACGGAAGCCATTTAACGTATCTATGGCACGTGCCTGTATCATTGGGCACTTCTAAGTGGGAATACTGAAATTCTTCAGCTTTTCTAGTGGGTATACTTCATATACCCACGTATCACGTAGACTACACCACTGGATTAAAAGTTGGAAATTCAGCTCCGTCCTCTGAACTTGCCCGCCAGCCTTCTAGCCTCACCTGCTCCTTATCATTTACCTGCTTTTATGAAACCTCATGCCTCCTCCAAGCCTGAAACAAGGATCAAGAGATTCTGTTGCAGTTCCTCTCCCCTGTAAATAAGCCTGTTCTGTATTCCTTTTCTCTAAATCTGTGTGTACCTTCTTGGTTCTCTGGCTGCCCAGAGTCCTGCGAGCTCGTAAACACATCCTTATAACAAGCTCACATCATCGTCGCTTTGATTTAACCAGATTAAACCCACTGAGATCAAGATCTCATTTCCAAGACTTGGCCAACAGGTCAGCAGCTCAATCCTAATAGAATGATCAAAACAAATAATATGGAGAAGAAAACGTTTCACCCACATAAACAGTTTTATTTATCTTTGTTTCATAAAATAAATATTCAGACATCCATCCATCTTTTACCTGCTTCTTCCTTTTTGGGGTCGTGGGGGTCACTGGCGCCCATGTCCAGTATGAGAGGTGATGGGACATCTGGACATGTCTCTAGTCCATCACAGGGACACATAGACAACCATTCACACTCTCACTCACACCTAGAGACATTTTAATGTTACCTGTCAGCCTAACATGCATGTTTTCGGGAAACCGGAGGACCCGGAGAAAACCCACGAGGCGAGCAGTTAATGTTAGTTAAAACTCAAGTACAAAAAAAAAAAAGCAAGAACTGTAGATTTACTCAAATGTAATGAACAAATAAAGCACATAACCCCACTAGAAATTAATATGTTAAGAAATAAGAGAAACGACTTTTCAATTGCTTTATTGTTCAGCATGTGGCACCATCTTGTGGGCAACAAAACATTTGATAAATGGATGAATAGGTTACAACAACTGTAATGCTGTTTTAAAAACTTCACCCTTTGATTATTCATGCCTGCAGTATTCTGCGGGGGTGGACTTGTCCCTACCACCACTGACACTGGACAGGACATGGACAATGTGGACAAATCAGCAGTTCACCACAGAGCTCAGTGATCACCAGTTACCCCAGCATGAATGTTTTTTCATCTTGTTCACTGTTATGGAACATGTTCATGGTTTTTTTTTTGTTTGTTTTTTTAAGAAGGTGAAAGTAAAACAGTTTGAACAAAATTACAAAAATCTAACACGTGACAAATCTTTATAATAATCACATTTAAAACCTCAATATAAATTAATGTTGGACTTCAGGGTTATCAATAAAACATGCACGATCATACTGTAACATTTTGTATTTAAAATGCAGATCATTGCTTAAAAAAGTGCTGAAAAGTTTTGATCAGTAAATTTGAAAAAAAAAAAACAAAAAAAAAACAGTAATTTCTTTTTAAGTTTTTTTTTTTTTGTCTTCCTCCTTTGAATTCATAATTGTACAGAAAGATTGATGCAAGTGTTAATACACATTTATTTGTAAGGTTTTTCTTCAGGCCCTTCCTGTTTTCTAAAACAAAATGTGTTTTTTACAATAAATCGTTCACTAAGGTAGATACGACTGATGTGAATGTGGCTGGCTCCTTTTTAAGATTGAGGTTCAATGTCAAGAGCAAGAGGGCCTTTCAGCGAGAAGCCGATGAAGAATGAGACCTTTGTCCCCTCGAAGTATCCGCTAATCTGACTTCGGTACATTGGAACCACTTCAAGCTTCAGATCTCTGACACAGGTGTCTGCCAGGATCCCATCAGGCTTCACCTCACCAGTGACCCTGAGAAGAAGCTCCCTCACTTTCCTTTCTTTCCATATTTTGCCGTTTCCCCACATGGAAGCAAACTCTTCCGGTCCAACTCTGATGCAGCTTTTGATCGCCCCAACGTGCACAAGTCGCTCGTAGCCCAGCTTATTCCCCAGCAGGAAATGGATAATGGGTGTCTTCCCATTGTACACTTCCTTCATCTCAGAATGATAAGTGGTCTTCATCTTTGAGATGAACATTCCCAGATTTCTATGCTCTGGGTATTGTGCTTGTGGCCACAGCAGCAGAACAGTGATGAAGAACAGGGCCAAACTCTCCTTTATTGGAGTTTGCTCATTCAGAACCTGGAAGAGGAACTTTAGCAGCTCCGAGTACGGCATTAAATGTTGTGATTGTAGTTTGATACAACTCAACACAACATTGGCATACATGAAGTTGATTCTCTCCTTTGGTTTTGGGATTTGTTGGCAAAGGAAGAAATACTGCTTGGCAATTTTCTCAATCATTTCAGCTGAGGTTTGTTTTGAGAGACAATTCAGAATCCCAAAATACGTATCAGCTTTTTCCTTCTCAATGAACTGTTTTGTCTTGTCGAGTTGCATCATAGCATTCATCATTTTATTCTTAAGAAGATGGGCAGAATCTGTTTTGCAGAAAACCTTTGTGTACTGTTTAAAGCATCTGAAAAGCTCTGCTTGGGCCACTTGCTCACGACTGTCTTTCAGTCCAAATCTGGAGCCCAGATTCACATGCAGTTTGTCAAGGTAGTCAATGTTCAGCTTCATCCTGTACTTGAGATTGTAAAGTGTGTCTTCAAATCGGCTTAGAATGTCGTAGTAGGCTCTGTTTTTATTGTGTCGGGGATCATTTCTCTGTATGTCCTCAAGTTTAACATTTCCAGAGAGGACCTGGCTCATGATGTCATGGCGAACGCAGTCGCGTGAAAACACGGGGATCTTTTCTAACAAGTCAATAATGAGAACTGCAACCTGGATTTCTCCAAGACATCCTGACGAATTGAAAGGGCAGTTGTCTGTTTTGTTGCTTAATCGCTGAAGCGACTCCTTCTTTGCAAGGCTTTGTGTTTGTTTGAATGCTTCCATTGCTGACTGTGCCATTTGGAGAAAACTGATCAGTTTTCCTGGGCTGACTGACTCTTCTTTGCATGTTGCCATGGCAGTCTTTAGCTCATGCTTAATGACTTGTGCTGATGTGTCTGCGATGTAGGAGCTGTCTTTGGAGAGATCTTTTGCGTTTTCTGCCCAAGTTCTAGCCTCAGGGAAATCCTTCTTCTTCAGGTAGTAGTATCTGGCAAGCAGCTGAAAGATAATGGCATTTTTGTCAAATAATTTTGATGCGTTTGTCAGCACCATCTCTTCCTGTCCAGGCGTTTCATTTGCTATGTCTTGAATAAGTGGGGAGAAGTGAGATTCCTCTTCTAATGAATAAAATCTTCTGACCAAAATGTAGTGAAGATCTTGCATGAGATTGTCTTTGCCTTGCGTGCACTCGTAAAACTGGTTTGTTGTCAGCAGAAAGTCTGTAATGTCAGCTTTTGTCACATTGTGTGTTGTTTTAAGTTCCTGCAAACACTGACTTGCAATACTCGAGTGCATAATTTTCAAAGCTTTGTAAACTACCTTGCCTTCAACTGAGCAGCTGGCAATGAAATTGGAAAATTTCCCAAATCCATCTTCTAACTTAATGCTCCCACAAACTGGCTTTGGTTTAAGGTCAAGAAAGTCTTCACACAAGGAGACAGAGAGTGAGGAACCCTTGCAGTAAACCTTCAATAGAACTAAAACAGCCAAGAGTTGTGCATTCTTCTGGTTCATGCTGAAGCTTCTCAGAGTGTTCCGAACAACTCCCTCGATATACTCTGACTTGAAGTTCTTCTTCATTATCATAAAACCATAAAATGTTTCAAAATCCGTGTGGGTTTTTTCAATCTCTGCAAGTTTTCCCTCAAACATTTCCAGTTCTTTCTCAGAGAGATGATTCCCAATGAAAACGGTATTTGCAGTTGGTTCACTCAGCTCGGAGGACTCTGATCTCATGCAGTTTAGAAGAATGACATTTACAGACTTGGACTGAATGTTTTTCTCTGCATATGCCTTTTCAATGAGCTGGAGCAAGTCATGTACCTTTTCAATATCATCAAAGTCATCTAGCATCAGCATGACTGGGATTTTTGGCATTTGCTCCTCATAGGAATATGTTAAAAACTTGATTACTTGATCAGCTACTTCAGCAAATTCATTGCTGTTCTTCAGAACTGCACAGCGAAATTTGTACCGAAGAGCCCATAGTACATGCATGGCCAAAGTTGTACCACCACATCCAGGTACATGAAGGAGATTGAGCAACACACAGGCTCTTGTCAGGGAGCACAAGTCTGGGATGACTGTGTTCACGATGTAGTCAAACTTGTCTCGTTTGATGAATGGTGTAGATCCAGGCTGCTCTGAGAAAAAGAAATTCCACCATAACACTTTTTCTCCTTTGTAGAAGTTCTCCTCCATGACAATTCTGTCCTCATTTCCTCCTTCGCACTGGTTCACACACAGGACCTCTAAGGTATTCAGGCTACGCTCAAATTTTTTCTCAAGAGGCACTTTGCTTTCACCGCCACAAGGCAGGAAACGAATGGCTCTGCGGTTTTTTGACCAAAGACTAAGAATGGTGCCATTGATTTCGGCAAAACTGAGCTCATAAATGCACCTATAAGAGATGTTGATTCCACACCGAGCCTCAATAAGATCCTTCCATGAAGTGAATGCATTTTCACTGTCTGTTATGCAGAGGATTTGAGCTGTGCCTCTAAGCTCCTGAAAGAATGTACTGAAAGTTTCAACAAGGGGATCCATCTTCTCCCTAACTGTTGACAAAAGTAGGAAAATGATGAGGAACCTCTTGTTTGGAAGCACGTCTTTTCGACACAAGAAAGAAATTACATCTCGAACTGAGGCTCCCTTGTCCATCAACCACTGATCGATGTCTGAAGGTTCTTCATGCTCAGTGCAGCCATTGCAGAACACCCAGCTGGTGTTTCGAGTTAATTTCAACTTTTTAGCTATGTCCTCCACTCCTTCTGTGATTTTATAGTTTGCTGGTAAATGGATGCTCACTGTGCTCTGCTGGTCAAAGAAGCTTTGTAAGCCATGTTCAGCTGATTCAGAGTCAAAGTCCAAAACGGCTGTTGGGTCGAGCTCTATGAGAAATTCTAGATTTTGAAAATGGCTCGGGTGAGATTTGTTTGTCACTATAACATATCGCTCAAAATGTGACTTATCCAAAGACGATGTGCCACCAGTTATCAAGTGACTTAATCTGGAGCCTTGAGTTGTGCTTTTTATTGCATTGAGGTGCTTCTTTTCTTCATTTTTGCGTAGCTGTGATAGATGAGCCATACCTTTAACAAACTGATTGTAGTTTTTCATTGATTTGTCAGATTCCATATTTGAAAGAAGATCCTTGGTATTACCACCATCTCTGACATAACAACTCTTTGATGGAAGGGATTCAACCTCTTTGGCTTTTTTCTTGGCTTTTTTTGTGTTGTTTGTGTGGTAGATATTTTCTTCACATACAGCAGACTCAGGAACAATGTCTACTTCAATCACACATTTGTCAGATGATGTTGTGTTTCGGTTGAGAACCTCAACAAACCGAGGCGGTTTAATGCATATTTGAGCAGCTTTTTTGTGCTTATGCTCAAAGTAATCATCAATGGCTGATTTAAGCTCTTTTGTAAAAGCTTCTTTGTCTTTTACAACCACTCCCAAAACTTGCCCATGCTCAAAGCCTTCTGGCTTGTCTCCTATTCCAAAATGTATGGTGCCATTGGTGCGGCTATTCATACAGGCAGCTGCAAAGCGGATGACATCTAAAGTAAACTTGGTAAATTTAGTTTCTTCAGTTGTATTGATGAAAGATTTATATTCGTGGCAGGGTTCAGTGAAACTTGAGGCACCTGATTCTGTTACATCAAGAATGCTGTGTTCTATATATCTTGATGTGTCATGGTATCTACAGAATGGATAAGGCTTGCATGGTTTTCCAGGCTGATCATCTCTCGTTGATTTCATCACCTCATCTCTGGCATGAACAATAAGTTTAGCAGGTCCAAATGTCACACCCATTTCAGACAAGTCTGATTTTTCTAAAAGCTTAAGACTAGGACCACTAATATCTTGTTTAAACAATATATCAGCAACAGAGTCGTCCACGTCTTTCAAACTGCAAATCCATTCTTTCACTTGATGTTTATTCCAGTCCTTAATGTCAGATGGCAGGGGTTCCTCCTAACATAAAAGTAGAAATTGATATTAGTATTTCTGATTTCAAGTAGCACTCAAATTAACTAGGAATTGAATATATTCAGGATTAAAGTATTAAACATAATGCCGTAAGTCTCAAACATTCTGTACTGTGTAAAGGTTCAGGCAGGTGTGATTGAAATGATGTAAAGTAGGAAAACATGTAGTAATTTTAAGTATATTACAAAATCATCATTGTTGACCTGATAGTCAGTCAACCGCAAGCATAAATGGTGTTTGTTATGGACAAACAATGACCGGTGCTGACCTCCAACAACACAAGACCATTCTGCTTTATGTCAGGCAGGTCATACCTCCTGATCACACCTCTCCATGCCACAATGTAATAACCAATATGGCTGTTGAAGACCACCGATAGGTCAATTTAGACCCCCAGTTGAGACTCTCTACAGGAGAGTCCAGCTACCCTATGGAGAAAAGTCAGTTCAACCGCCTGTATCCGCGTTCTGGTTCTTTTAACCTACACCGATCCTCTGTTGATTTCACCTTCCATTCTTCCTTCACTCTTGAACAACCCCCCAAAATAATAGAACTCCACCACTTGAGGCAGCACTTTATCTCCAACTCAGAAAGGACAGTCAATCCTTTTCTGACTGAGGGACATATAGCCTCAGATTTAGAGGTGCTGATCCTGATCCCAGCCGCTTCACACTCAATTGCAAACCACTTCAGTGAGAGCTGGATCTCACAGCACAATGACAAAACCAAGAGAGCATCATCCATAAATAGCAGATATGGAATCATGAGGCCACCGAATCAGACTCCCCTTCGTCTCTTGGCTGTAGCAAAAAATCCTGTTTGTAAAGTTATTAACAGAATCACGACTATGGGCAGCCCTTGCGAAGTCTAACTTCTACGCCGAAGGGGTTCAAAATATTGCCAGCAATGGGAACCAGACTTTTGTACCACTTGTATAGGGACTGAATGAAACGTAGCAATGGAGCCCCGATCTCGTACTCATGGAGCACCCCACCACAGTACACCTCAAGGAACTCGGCTGAATGCCTTCTCTAAATCTACAAAACACCTGTGGCCTGGATGAGAAAACTTCCATGCCCCCTCATAGACCCTAGTGAGGATAAAGACTTGGTCCACCAGGTAGGGCCTGCATTGTTCCTCCTGAATCTGAGATCCAATCATCGATCAGCCCATCTTCTCCAGTAGCCTTTCTTTCAACCTTTATTTAGACAGATAAATCACATTGAGCCTCGGAGACTCATTTACAAATGAGATCTGTTTAGACAGAATATGTTAGACAGCCTAATATAAAGCTTACCATGGAGGCTAAGGAGAGTGATGCCCTACAGCCGCTTTGACAATGGTTGCATGGAACATGGCCCACTCAGATTCAATATTCCACTGTCTTCACTAGGAGGTGGTTGAAGTTGTGGTTGAATACAGGTATGAGTTTCAGGTCCTTCTGACAGGTTCTTCTACTAAGCGTTCCCAACAAATCCTCACAACATGCTTGGGTCTACTGGGTCTGTCCAGCATCTTCCCTTGCCATCTGATCCAACTCACCTGGTGGTGATCAGTTCTGTTTGTCTCTTTACCCGAGTGTCCAAAACATTTGGCCACAGTTGACACAGCTACCAAGTCTACCTTGGTCTGCAGTCTAGCGTGCCCTGGTACCATGTGCATTTATGTTTGAACGTGGTGTTTGGCATGGACAAACCATGACCAGCAACAAAGTCCTACAACAGAACAACTTTCTTATTCAGAACAGAGAGACTGTTCCTCTCAGTCCCCCCCCACTGATCACACTATCACTACTCACATGGGCATTGACATCCCTACCCAACAGAATAAAGAAGTCCTCAGTTAAAGTACCTCCCCACTAAGGACTCCAAGAAGGCTGGGTACCCCAAACTGCTCTTTGGCATGTAGGCCCAAACAACAGTCAGAGCCTGCTCCTTTACCCAAAGATGTAGGGAAATACCCTCTCATCTAATGGGGAAAACTTTAATGTGCGGGCACCAAGCCGGGGGGCTAACGGCGCTTTGCCACAGTCTCAATTCTCATTGGTTCTGCAAAGCATCACACAAGTGGCCTGCCCACTGCCGGTACCCACCCCCACTCAGCCCAGTTTATGGGACCATCTTGTTCATGGTTCCGAGCTAACTACTCTGAGGTGATGACCATCCTGGTCAATAGGCACTCACTGACAAGCCCCTCCCCCAGCCGTAGCTCCAGGGTGGAGCTTCAGTAACACACGTCCGGGCGAGGGGCATCAAATTCCTTGTTGTTCTCCATCCATACAAGTAGTCTGAATCACTCGGCCTGTCACCGAGGACCAATATGCCTTGGGAGACCCTACCAAGGGCAACTGCCCTCGACAGAATAGCTCCAAGGATCATTCAGGTACATAAAACTCCACCTGGATAAAATAACGATTCACAGAGAAGTCATTGGGATTTGTCCGATTAAAATAAAATAAAGGATAATTACATACATGGATGATAATGATAGATACTTCACAAGTCAGGCAGTGTGTGGCCGTAAGTCATATGTCAAAGCATGCAGCGTATTGTAGAGACATATGACTATATCACGGGACTAAATGCTCAAAATTGAATGGCTCTTTTAAAAAAAAAAATGGATCAACAAGATCTGGCTTCCATCAAAGAGACATACAGTAAATCTCACCTCTGACATGATGTGACTGTGTCAGTTTGTGACTGGATTCTTGCTGTAAAGCAGTTTTGCTCTTTGGTGACATCAGTTTTCAGGAGGAAAACTGCAGTTTTTATTTTAGCTGTTTTTAAATAAAAGTCCAACCAAGGACTGGGTTTGCAAATTAGCCTGTGGCTAGAAAACCTTCGTACAAAACAACGGTTGCTTCGTTTTTGACATGTTACATTGTTTATTGTGTTGTCATTGTTCAAATAAATTGGAATGAATGAATGAATCAACATTTTCTATACCTGCCTAAACCTTTACACATTACTGTATATATTTCTAAATTGGACAAAACAACTTAAAAATTTGTTTTAGTTTATTTATTTCTCAAATTATAAAATAAATAAAATAATTATATATATACTGTATATAATTGTTTTATGTTTTTAGGTGAACAGTTTTATGAATATGTTTACATGTATTTCCCTCTGGAAAGCTTAATAATGTAGGAACTTACTTTCACTTCTCCGCTGTCTGCCATAATGGCTCAAGATTCTTCCTCAAAAACGTAGATCTTTAAAAGTAAAAAAAATACACCTATATTATTTAAATGACACTTTTAACAATAAAGAACAAGAATCTCTGACATAACCATAAAAACAAAAACTTTGGTTTTACCTGAATTTTTTTGTTTTCCTGAACATCCGTGACAGCTGGCTCACATTTCACGTCTCCACCTTTTTTTTTCAAAGCAACAAGAACGACAACAAACGCATGTCTTCATCTGTATACAAAACTACTATCATGCAACTTTATCTTCAACCACTAAAGGCTTTGACAAAATTAAGTAAATGCCAAAAATTTATTCTGGACACAACTATTGTTATGCTTTTTTTTTTTTTTGGCTATATAATTTTTGGGCAACAAAAAGCCTTTACATACAATATATCATGTTTTTTGTCAATTTTCAGAGGTGTTTAACATCTGTCTGCAGATGTTTTTTTACAACTTCTCTTGTGTAGAAAAAATCTGCATCAGTCGTTTTTACTAAAACAACTTTAAGTGTTTTAATCGTTTACTGTATTAAATAGGTTTCATGTTATAACATACAGACAAAGTGATGTGCTGCTTTGTTCGACTTTAATTTTTTAGTTTAGTGTAGAAACACTACGCAGCGCCATATAAGTGCATCTAATTTTTCTGCCATAAAGGTTTTGTGCATCAAGAAGAAATAAAAATTTGTACATAAAAGCATCTAGTCCTTACCCAGTCTTCAAATGAATACATAACATTTTACATCATGTTTTTTCTACAAAAGCAAATGTTTCCTTTATCACGCTTTTATATGATTTCTTTTGCAAACATTATTCTTCCTTTTAATGATGGTCTTTAAACAGTCATGTCTCTCTTCAGTCATCAAGCTGCAAACAGTTGAAGCTAAAAACATCCAGATTGTTCCAGGTTAGCCTGGAGCTGTCTTTATTTTTTGAAAAGGAGAATAAATCAAGCAGCCAAACGGTGAGCAAAGTTTTGATTTATTTTACTGATTTGTGCAAAACGAACAGTGAAGCACCGACGTTTTTATTTCCAGCCTTGTCTGCTGTCTTTGTGTCTGCGGTTTACATAATTGTCACTGGTCTTCATGTGGGCTTTTCCAGTTATTCCAGTTTTGTTCAGTCCAGCTGCACGTTGGGTTCAGAGGTTTATAAAAAGCTTATTATAAATGAGAATTTAGTCACTGCATGAGCCTTAAGTAGAACTATTGACCCATCGAAACGCCTTCGAAGGTGGAGAAATATTGTTTGTGCCTGTCTTTTGTGTGTGTGTGTAAACTTGCATTTGTTTGTCTGTACTCTTTGAAAAAATATTGTCTTTTAATGAAACTTTGACATTTAACGTCGATCAAAATCAAGATGGCTGCCACAGCTAATCAACAGTCATTGCAAAAGTGACTAGAACTCAATCAGTTCAACATTTATTGAGGCTCGGTGTGGTAGTAGCTGAGAGTCGTGCTTAACACATACTCAGCTCAACATGTTGTGCAACTTTGCCCAAAACTTAGCAATTAACTGTTACAGTTAACAGTCAAGATGGCTGCCACAGCTAATCCCCCTTTGCCAACACAAAAATGTCTGTAACTTAAACCGAGCTAAAGATATTCATGTAAAGTTTATGTGGTAGTAGCTGACGGTCATCCTTAACACATACGCTAATCATATTCTGAATTAAAAGTCTGGTCTCAGCAGGTGAAATGCTTTGTTTTATTTATTCAAGGAAATTATTCATGAAAGAAGTGTCTATAGTTCATGCAGGGTATGAAAGTTTTACACAAAGATATTATTTAGAGCAGAATCATCACAGGTCCAGTCCAAAAAGGAGCAATATTAACAGAAAATAAATAAAAACTACTAGTTTTAATAAAGATTACTATTATTAATGACATTATTTGCTGGTTTGTATGTTCTGCTTCCTGTTTACCTGCACCAACTACATAGTTTATATTTAAATGACTTATAAAAGTGTTTGTTTTGTTGCTTGTCTATTTAATTATTATTTTTTTTATTTAACACTGTTGTATTGTGGTATTATAAACCTGTAATAAGTCACGAATAGTTACTGTTTTTTTTTTTTTTTGCTGTTTTGCCGAGGAACGGTTTGACAAAGAAATCAGGAATCTTCAATCTGTTAAAAAAATAAAAATAAAAAAATGTTTGTGAGGACAATGTGACAGATATCTCTTCAAGCAGTCTTTATCTCTCCTAATCCTGAGCACACACACACACAAAAAATACTCACTGAGAAGATACCTTGTCTTCATTTACTATGGTCTGTTGTCCTCTGGTGCTGAGAGGGTGTTGAGTCTTCACTGTGGGATTCAGAAACTGCTTTCGCTCCTTATTGTCCGCAGAAAGTGAAAGAATGAGTGTAACTGGGCGGTGTTTCTGAATAAGTGAAACCTAACAGAAACAGGAAGCACCGACTGTTTATGTGCTCTAAGTGCTGACAAACCATAAAACTAACAAAAGAAGAAAAAAAAAAAAACGCTACAGTGCTACTACATGTATTCAAAGCCTGCCTGCATAAAAAGCTGAATAATTAAATTTTAGTAATGGAGCACAAGTACCGAGGTAGTTGGTTCCAGCGACCTAAAAGGCCCGATCCCCTCAAAGTTTGTCGTTGGGCTTTGGAACATGTAGTAAAATTAATTTGCCTTCTCTCCTCTCATGCTCACAGAAAGCTATTTGATCAGCTAAATAAGGTGGGGCACGACCGTTAAGAGCTTTAAAAGTATTTAAAAGTTTAAAATCGATTCTCAAACAGACTGGAAGCCAATGGAGAGAGAATAAAAGCAGGTGAGGTGCTCACGTCACGTCTGGGAGCGTTGGTTAAAAGACGAGCTGCAGCGTTTTGGACAAGTTGAACGTGTCTGATTAGGATTAGAGGATTCCAGCGTGAAGACCATCACTGGAGTCAAGCCTTGAACTGATAAAAGCATAATATGTTATCACTGTATGTTCCCATTCAATGACAAAATTGGTTCGCTGCATTTAAATCACACCTGGGAAATAAGGTGATACGTTCATCGTATGTCAAGTCCTTATCAAAAGTCGCACCCAAGGTTTTAACTTTAGGTCTGAATTTGGAAGTAAGAACACCAAAGTTACAGGGACCATTATGCCAAAAATTATACATGCCGCCTTTCGTTCATTTAAAAGCAGCACGTTTTGGTTGAGCTTAATGTCAGCGATCAAGAACAGAAGCATGGCAGCTCGGGGGTCATAAGTTAATTTTTGTTGAATTATATAAGTTTTAAGTTGCAACAACACCACTTTCGCACAAGAAAATAATTTAAATACCCAAACGCATTAGGTTTGTTTCTACAAATGAGGCAGACTGCAAAATTTATTAAAAACACTGTTTGAAAACCAAGTAAAAAAGAAGGAGGAATGGTGATAACAATAAAAATTCAGTCAAGGATGAGGCTTTTCAGTAATTGGTGAAATAAAAACAAAAGGGTGGTTCCAAAAAAAAAAAAAAACTATGGAAAAATCTCTCAAAAGCTGTGATATGTGAGGAGTGGAAGGCCCGTCACTCACACCACACACCAGACTCTCTAAGAAGTGACAGCTCTATCAACTGAGCCACTGTGCCGAAGAATTAACAAAAGTAAAAGCCACAAAATTAAGCTAATATCTTAAAGTTAATTGTCATCTTATTTTTTTATTGTTTTTTTATTTTTTATTTGAATTTTTGTTCAAATTATAGTATGTATGTGGGGTTTTTTATTATTTTTTTGTATCGATATAAATATTTAAATAAAAACTGTAATTTTTTTTGTTACGTTCATGAATTATTTTATTCAGGCAGTACTTTTGCTTGCCCAACTTCCGGGGTCCTTCGGTTCTTTTCACTCAGGCACAGCAGCTTGCCGTAGATTAAGGTCCTGAACGTCACACGTGCACTGTTAGCAGTCATGGCAGACATGCAGATGAGACTTATTCGGAAGAAAATCACGAAAAGAAACGAAAAGAACAAAGAGCGGAAACAGAAGAAGAAACAAAGCGAAGAAGAAACCGGTAAGAAACGAAACGAGTTGAAAACATTCTGACCCGGCTCAGCTTCGGTTCCGGACCAACACTCACTGGGATATTAATGTTCAGGAAACAGAGAAACCAGGGCTAAATTTAAACTGAAACTATGTAAACAGTAAAAAAAAAAAGAATAGTTATTATTACTGAGGCGGCATTTAGCCGGGTCGCATTTTATTCTACAACACCACCTGTATTCTGTGAGACTTTTTAATGTTGGAGATAAAACAAGATGCAAAGAAAAGCCTTCACTTCCAGATTAAACAGGAAATTGGAAGTCAATGAGCGTTTTGATGTGACCTCATCAGTCCCACAGCGGTGGAAGTGGACAAGAACACCCACCCACGAGAAATCCTCAGTTCAGTTGGGCCTGTATCTTCATGTTCTGTTGCAGTGACTTCCAATGGGCTGGAGGAGGAACCTGACGTGGAACCTGCACAGAACACGGTCGAGGAGGAACCAGCAGGAGCAGAGGAGACTCCGCTGACGAAGCAGAAGAAGAAAAAGAAGAAAAGAAAGCCGACCGGTCCAGAAGAACCACCAGGTAAGAACCCCGCCTGCGGGGACCTCAGACTTCTGCTGGTTTTGGTTCTGAGCTTTGTTCTCGTTTCAGCTGAGAAGAAGAGCAAGACTGAGGGAGAGGAAGACGGGGCGCAGCTAAATGACGAGTCCGTGGAGGATGAAGAGGACGAAGATGATCAGCCTGAACTACCGACCGGTTTGACAGGTTTGAAATAATTTCTGCCCGACATTTTAATCGTTTCACCTGCCTTCATGTGTTGCTCGTTCATCGCTTCCATGGTGACGCGAGTGTCAGCGAAGGCGGACAGAGAAACTTGCGGTTCCGTCTGTGGACGGGTCACCGGTGATTCTTCTCATTGTCAGAACTGCAAGGACATCTTCCATCGGACCGGTTTAAACAAAACCTCACCTGGAGTTCGTTCCAGTGAATTAATCACTTTTCAGCAGAGGAAGAGACTCTGGACCTGGTCCGGTTTCATGAACGGTTCTCTTCTGTTCCAGGAGCGTTCGAGGACACGTCGTTCAGCTCCCTCGCTGACCTGGTGAGTGAAAACACCCTGAAGGGCGTGAAGGAGATGGGCTTCGATCAGATGACGGAGATCCAACACAAAACCATCCGACCCCTGCTGGAGGGGAGGTACGTGACTCTGCTGGGTCAGAACCGAACCAAGACCTGAGCTCTGACCATGTGAGAGATCAGCTGTGTGGTTTTGCTTGTTTGAAACGGGTCGATCCTTCAAGATAAACCCGTCTGACGTTTGGTTTCCCTGCAGGGACATCCTGGCAGCAGCTAAAACGGGAAGTGGTAAAACTTTAGCTTTTCTCATCCCCTCCATCGAGCTGATCTACAAGCTGAAGTTCATGCCGAGGAACGGTGAGTTTCTCCTGAGAGTCGCTTCCTCTGTCGGCGGCCCTCCACGCCTGAACGTCCGTCTGTCCAACAGGAACCGGGGTGGTGATTCTGTCTCCGACCCGGGAGCTGGCCATGCAGACGTACGGCGTGATGAAGGAGCTGATGACTCACCACGTGCACACGTACGGGCTCGTCATGGGCGGCAGCAACCGCTCGGCTGAGGCCCAAAAACTCGCCAAAGGGGTCAACATCGTGGTGGCGACGCCGGGCCGCCTGCTGGACCACCTGCAGGTGAGACCGAGCTTTTATTTTGATGCTGCACAATGAATATAGGTTTGACCCTGAGCTTTTGTTTTGGTAACTTCCTGTGTCGGTGTCCAGAACACCCCTGGATTCATGTACAAGAACCTGCAGTGTCTGATCATCGACGAGGCCGACCGGATCTTAGAGGTGGGCTTCGAGGAGGAACTGAAACAGATCATCAAGCTGCTGCCGAGTACGTGTCTGTCAGGAAGCCACCTCTAAAGGGATATTCTGCTCATTTTGAAGTGTGGATCTCTGGGAACGCTCTGAATCATTCTCTTAGTTGTAGAATCGTTTATTTCTACAAAACCGCACAAATCATTCTTTTATAACAGAATTCAATTAAGTTGATTAAATCCCACATCAATCAGTGATTTTCTCTATATTTGATGCACGTCTGGTTTTAGAAGCATCATGTAACTGATTATAAAAATATATTTATTTAACTGCTAATTAACTTGTTAGGGGTTAATTTCAGGAACAAAATGCATCATTGGGTCGACGTTCAAACAGTTTTATGGCAGTAAAATCAAGATTTTGTGTTTGGTACAATTGCTGTGAAGCTCGGAGTTCGTTTGAAAGAAACGTTTAAGAACCGACGCAGCTCAGCGTGAACTTCTGGGATTAACTTGACCCTAAAATCAAATATTTGAATAGCATCTATAACAGTTACAGCAGTTGGTTTTAAATCAGCCCTCGTGTGAAGCTGGGGTTGTTTTCTCTTCAGTCAAACTAGTGCAAACTTTAGCTGTTTGTACATCAAAACCTTCGGCTCATTCAGAGGGTGGCTGCTGCAACTTCTGTTTTTTTTTTTTTTTTTAACAAATCTCTTCCTCGTTGAAATGCATAGAAATTTCATCCATTCTGAAAAAAAGAAGAAATCTGCTTCAACTTAATGGCTCTTTTTGGGGTTTTTTACGCTACGTTTAGTTTCTAGCTGTCGTTTTGACACTTACAGCTTCCAACCATCGTTTTAGCTAGCGTTTAATATTTTTAGCTGGCCTTTTGCTGCTGTTTTAGCTGGTGTTCTGCATGTTTTAACGGCCGTTTCCTCGGGTTTGTAAGGATTTAGTGAAACGGTTGACGAGATTTTAAACAACTCTTTAGGTTTATTTAGTGACTGAACGACGGAGGAAATTTAAAGATGTTTATTTGTTATTAAGAAATGGCCTCGGGTTTAACAGGAAGTCCTAAGAAAAGCGCTCCAAAGCTGAATATTTACAGGTTCTTGTTTTCTTCTGTGCAGAGAAGAGGCAGACGATGCTGTTTTCAGCCACTCAGACCCGGCGGGTCGAGGACTTGGCTCGGATTTCCCTGAAGAAGGAGCCGCTGTACGTCGGGGTGGACGACAACAAAGACCAAGCCACGGTGGACGGTCTGGAGCAGGTAGGGTCTCTGCCGGGTCGGGTGTGGTTCCTGGTTGGTTGATACTGACCGCTGGGTCCGGTTTCAGGGCTACGTGGTGTGTCCGTCAGAGAAACGCTTCCTGCTGCTCTTCACCTTCCTGAAGAAGAACCGCAAGAAGAAGCTGATGGTCTTCTTCTCCTCCTGCATGTCCGTCAAGTTCCACTACGAGCTGCTGAACTACATCGACCTGCCCGTCATGGCCATCCACGTGAGCGCTCCGGCCCAGTTCTGTTCCTCCCCGGGAGACCAGAACCAGCCGGTCTGAAGCCTCCTCTCCTCGTGTTTCTCCTCTCAGGGCAAACAGAAGCAGACCAAACGGACCACCACCTTCTTCCAGTTCTGCAACGCCGACTCGGGCATCCTGCTGTGCACGGACGTGGCCGCCCGAGGGCTCGACATCCCCGAGGTGGACTGGATCGTCCAGTACGACCCGCCAGACGACCCGAAGGTTCTTAACGTTGTTACAGATTCTGGAGATGGAAACGTTGACGGGCAGCTGAACCCGGTTCTGTTTTCCTCTCCGTCCTCAGGAGTACATCCACAGAGTGGGTCGAACCGCCCGCGGCATCGACGGCAGAGGCCACGCCCTCCTCATCCTGCGACCAGAGGAGCTCGGCTTCCTGCGGTTCCTCAAACAGGCCAAGGTGACGCCTCGGACCGTCAGAACTCAGATTTATTTTACTGCGGTTCAGTTGGTTTACGTGTGTCTCCGTGTCGTTCAGGTCCCTCTGAGCGAGTTCGAGTTCTCCTGGAGTAAAATCTCCGACATCCAGTCCCAGGTAAGAACTTGTGGCTCGGTCCGTGCCTTTGTTTTAAATGCGTCTATGATCAGCCTCAGGAACCAGAACCTTCTCTTGTTCCTCAGCTGGAGAAGCTGATCGAGAAGAACTACTACCTGCACAAGTCTGCGCAGGAGGCCTACAAGTCCTACGTGAGGGCGTACGACTCGCACTCGCTCAAACAGATCTACAGCGTCAACACGCTCAACCTCCCCATGGTGGCGCTGTCCTTCGGCTTCAAAGTTCCTCCCTACGTGGACCTCAGTATCCTTTTGTTCTGTTCGACCCGTTGAAAGTTCTGTTACCGTGCAGAAACGGTGAATTAGGGTTCAGCTGTGACGGTTTATGAACCGGGACAGGAAGTGACGAATCGCTCTTCTATTTGTCGCCACTGCAGGAAAAAAAAAAAATCCCTGGAGATTATTTATTTTGTAGAAAGAAAATATTTGGCGTAGTGAACTCCGCCCTGCAAGTTCAAGAATCTGTATTATCCCGAGGGGCAATTTGCTTCACAGACGCACAAAACATTAATAATAATAATAATAATAATGTCAGCACTGTACGTTTCCATACAATGGTGAAATTAGTCTCTGCATTTAACCCATCCACCACCAGGTGGTGCAGTGGGCAGCTATTGAAAGCACCCAGGGGGGCATTTTGGGGATGAGGTGTGCTGCCCAGAGACACCACGTGATGTGCAGTGACTGGGGATTGAACCTGGGACTTTCGGGTCCCAAGCCGGCTGCCCTGCCTCATTAAAATAACAGAGATCATCAGTGTTCGTTGAGAAGCCTGATTACTACAGGGATGAATGAGATGTTCAGTCTGTTCGTTCTACACCTGGGCAGCAGATACCTGCGTCCACATGGAAGCAGCGTGAACTCACCATGAGTGGATGATCAGGATCTGCCAGAATCAGCCTGGCCTTGTTCACTGACCTCACCTTGTGTAGGACAGTGAGGTTCTGTAGGACAGTGAGGTTCTGTAGGGCTATGCCAGCAGTTCTGCTGCACATCCTGACGGTCCCTGAGTGTTTGTTCCTGTTTTTACATGTCAGAAGTCCAAACCAACACATGAAGGTGAAAGATGAAACATTCTCATAAAAGTTGAATCAACATTAAAACCACAGAGCTTCTGATAAAAAATAATTCTCTGGTGGGTCTTCTTACAAAGTGAGTTCACATGGGGGTCAAAGGTCAGTTTGCCATTGAGAACAGTTCCCGTTATTTATATTGATGCACCACCTGCACAGCTTCACCATTAATGACCACAGGAGCTGCAGCTGAAGAGTCTTTTCTAAAATCAATGACTTGGAAACATTTAACTTTAAAAAGGAAGACGTGCACCGTTCAGTGAAGTCCCCGACCACAGGGTCTGGGTCATCACTGCTGAGAAGGGACAGGATGACAGTCGGCAAACTTTAAGATGTGAGGCTGAACTGGCTGCAACAATCGTTTGTATACAAGGTAAATAAAAGGGGTGAAAGAACACAGCCCTGAGGGGAGCTGGTAGAGGACTGAAGGACACCAGGGGGAACCCTGTTGACCCTCACCCGATGAGACCGAAGTTAAAAAGTCCACAAGCCAACGAGGCCAGAGTCGAGACTATACAGACGTTGTAGTTTCTTCATAAATACAATTTAAAAACAGATGAAAAGTCAATAAAAAGCCAACCTGGGAATGTTTTTGTACCTTCAAGTTGTCCTAAAATCATATTTAAGAGTTCCTGTTGCTCCTCTACGTGAACGATAAGCAAACTGAAATGGGTCCAAATGAGCTTTATCTTAGTTCAGGGGGATCTTTGAAATACGGTGTCCCTTCAGGGTCATTTTAAGGACCAAGTTTTATCTGTTCAGCCTCGTGTTTAAAAACAAAACCTGAACGTGCAACAAACGAAAAGTGTTGACACGTCGCTGAATGCAAAGTGCTTGTTGGACGTTTGTCCTCCTTGATTCGTCTCTTCAGACGTTCACACCAGCAAAGGAGTGAAGATGCAGAAACGCGGCGGCGGCGGGGGGTTCGGGTACCAGAAGTCCAACAACGTGAAGAAATCTCGAATCTTCAAACACGTGGACAAAGGAAGGAGCGACAAGAGGCAGTTCTCCCGCTGAATGGATTCACTTACACGAACTTCTAGCTTCAAGCGAACCGTTTCCTGCATGACCTTTGACCTTTTGTACATTGCGCTCCTCTTTGATGCTTCCAGATTAACCCAGAAAATGTCTGATAAATTATGTAACCAGGATCTCGTGTTTTCACAGTTTTATTAAACGATTTAAGATTCGAAACTCCATCTGACGGAAACATTTTCCCTTTTAAAAAATTAAAATCTCAACAAGTTGTTTTCAGTCGAGCTCCATTATCTCTATTCAAAGACATTTTTATACAAAACTAGAGCCTGAAATGAGTGTCGAGGGACCGACGTGCGATTTAGTCCCATCACTGAATCTGTACAGTCATTATTTACAATCGGAACATTGTTCTGCTTCAGTCACAGCGTTAAACTACAATCACACGTTTCTGAGGCTCAGCTCGGAGAAACCATCAAACTTTAATTTCCTTTGTTCTTTAGACGTTACAGACGTGTTTGGGATCAATTTAGAGTTTTCTATTCCACATTAAACATTTAGGTCAATGTTAATTGACGAAGTAAGGAAGCCTGTCTGGTTCATTTTTTTTAAACTACCAATGGGAAGCTTGTTTCCACTTAAATGGATCCTCGTTTGTCAGTAAAATATTTCTGCGAGTTGAGCTTTTGAGTTTTGTTCGTTCTCTGCCAAACGTCTCGTTCTGCTGCTCTTTTGGTGCTTATGGGTGAGTGGAGTCGGAAGCCAAAACATTTAACAAACGAGCATAATGGCATGTGGAAGAACCATATACAGCCTGGCTCTTTATCCATCTCTGTCACACTCATTCTTCACAGCTAGTGGCCATAAAGTTGCCTTACAACAAAAAATAATTTACCAAACTCGATTTTTCTTCAAATTAAATCAAAAGTAGACTCAGCGGAGAACTTGGTGGGTAAACAGCAGGTGCGGCGATCTGCAGAGCTGGTTGCGCCTGAAAGCTTCAGCTGATCCAGGTGAACGTCTGAGAATCACTACAGTAACTTCTGGCTTTCAGAAGGTCGTCTGGTTCTGGGCTCTTCTCCAAACTGAGCTGCTCCTCACCCCAAACAAGAAAAATAATCTGACGCGTTTGAGTCGACGTTCCCTCAAAAACTAAATTAAAATCGTGTTCCCTTCAGAAGCTCCGGTGGTTTCTGTAGAACCCAGCCGGCACTTGATGTCCGGATCGGCTCAGAGCAGGTTTGATCAGCTCAGTCCTCCACCGGTGTATCCAGAAGGTTCTGGTGCTGCTCGGTTCTGTCACTGCTGCTGACCTGTGAGGGGAAACGTGCATCAGTGACGATAACAGATTTATTTTTATTTTTATTTATTGCTCCGTCACTGAACACAGACTTCTTCTAAAATAAGACGTTTCATTTTGATGCGTCTTTATTTGAAGAAACATCAACCTGAAGCAGAAACTGTGTTTTTAGGAGTAATAATTTAAAAATGATAAATAAATTCACATATAAACAAATTAAAATGTGTCTCAGAGTCGGTCTTGTTCAGTGGCTGCCAAAATTAATTAAGACAACAAACTCTGTAAAGTCGACTTTCAGACGTCTGGCTGCAGCTGCAACAAGCAGATCGGTTTACGAGCAGAAAAATAAAACCTCAAGACGCAAACTCCAAACCAGGAGCGAGACGTTCTGTCCACACCTGGGACGAGTTCTCATTTAAATCCCGTTTCATCAGTCAGGGCTGGAAACATGGAGCCCTGGACTCTGTCTCTGAGAGACCGTTAACTCGTTAGTCACAGATCAACTCGTTAGTGATAGATCTCGTTAACTCGTTAGTCAAAGAACTGGGTAACTCTGAGAATAGATCAACTCTCTAGTGATAGATCTGGTTAACTCATTACCTCATTAGTGATAGGACCAGGTAACTTGTTAGTGATATATCTGGTTAACTCATTAGTCATAGAACAGATCAACTCTAGTAATAGATCCGGTTAACTCGGTGAAAGAACCAGGTAACTTGTTAGTGATAAAACATATTAACACGTGATAGATCTGGTTAACTTGTTAGTCATAGAACTGGGTAACTCATTAACCCGTTAGTCAAAGAACTGGTTAACTCAGACAATAGATCAACTCTCTAGTGATAGATCTGGT